ACTAATGTACAGATAGATAGTACCATTGCGCAGAAGCAAGCATCTATGCAGGAGCAAAATCAATCGAACAGTTTGAGGCCGCCGCCGGAGTCAACATCTTCGCAGTGTCGCATGAAGGGCAGATGCACCACCAGGTCAAGATCCTGTTCCGCCCGGCAGACGAGCGACGGCGGCGAGTGCAGGCATGGCTCCACCGACGCTGGCCTAACGCAAGCCACGGTGGCCCTCTGTAGTCCGTCCGGCAGCATCAGCAGCCAGGGTCATCAGCCGAGCGAGTGCGCGACGTAGCGAACGTCGAGAACCCGTGGTCACCAACCTGTCGCAGATAGCTGAGCAGGAAGATCTGGGGCGAAGCGCGCGCGTTGTGCTCTCGCGCCTCGAAAAGTGCTGGTCTCGGTCGTGGCTCAGCCTTGTACACCGTGACAACCTCGCCGGTCGCCGTCGCGTTGGTGTAGTACATGCTGTGCAGCTTGTCGTAGTACTCCGGCTTCAGGAGACCACCAGCACGGCCTTCACCTTGGCCGCCGTGTTGCTGACGCGGCCGGGCACCCGCTCGCCGGTGTCGGTCACTTGTGGCAGAGGCCATGCTCCGTGTGCCCCGGGATGATCTGCTCGTACATGACCTCGAATGTGAGCGGAAGGAACGGCGCGAGGCGGACCAGTATGCCGAGACGCCGAGGAAACGCCGACGCCGCTGCCAGGATCTCTGTTCTCGAGGCCTCAGACGGCACCAAAGACGAGGTACTGCGCAGATGCCGCCCTTGGTGCCGCTAGGCGCCAGGACTGAGCCGCCATGCGCGCAGCTGCCCTCAGACGCCTCGGTGCCGGGCTGCACCGCACTGCTGCGCGCCTACGTCTTGGCGGCGCGCAGCCGCTTGATGAGGTGCGCGGACGGCGACAGCGTCAGAAGATAAAGGTAGGGGGTATTCTGTAAATTTACGTTGGATTTAAGATTAAATAAATGACATGGACCTGCAGTGAACCATTTTAAAAGTTCATGATCCAAAAATGCAATTTCAAAGTTGATGGACATAGATGACAGCCTAATAAAATTAATAGATCTCCGGTGCATTTTACTCTCTCTTTTTTTTTAACTTGGGCAGCTTTCATTGCACTCGGGTTGACAAATCGTCAACAACAATTACATTGACACTATCCGGAACATTGCACGCCAAGTGCTCTGCCCCTTCAGTGCTATCCACACCTAAAGCAGCAAGAACATGAGCTGCCTTGTTACAAATTCTCGGAATACGAACACACTCAAAACTAATAAAGTTTGTTGAAATAAAGAACTTTAATTCTTCCACAAGGCCTCCAGCAGCTGACAGGTCTTGCACCTCCGATGTCAATGCTAAAGTTTTGAGTTTGGGTGGAACTGGAACCCAATGTGTGTCAGTTTTTATGTTTCAAAATTGGATAGCAGCGGCATATTTACAATGTATCTTGTATTTTCAGGATCTTAAATTGACAATTCTAATGGATGCTGACAAAGTAATCTCGCTGATCCAAAAGAACAGATCATGTCAATCGGATAATGCCAGTATGTTTGCTTTTGTACAATTTCCATTTTCCAGTGTCTTCTTGGTTTTGTTCATGCCACACCGAACTGACAATCTGCGTAGCGCAAATATGTGTATATTGCGAAGCTCAAATTCCAAACGCCTAAATATGGAAAACCGTGGCGAAAATCCAATTGTCTCGCCGGGGCTCCATAGACGCTGCCGCCAGGCCGCCGACTCCTCTTCCGGCCACTCTCGCTGGGCTCTCCCCGCGGCCGGTACTGCGCGCTGTCACCTCCATGGCTCCATCCATCCATCCCCTGTCTCGTCCAACCCGCCCCTGAAACTCATTGGAATTTCTCGCTTCTTGCAGCCTCCGGTGGCCAAACGCCAGGATGACGCCCGCGGAACCTGCATCTCTGCAGGAGTGCGATGCCCCCGGGGAGGACGACTCCCCCGACGAGACGCGGCTCTCGCTGAAGACGGCGGCGCCCTCCACGGAGGCGGGCGAGGGTGACCCCGACACCGCTCCCTACGTCGGGCAGTGGTTCCCGACCCACGACGCGGCGTACGGGTTCTACAGCGGGTTCGCGCGGCGGTGCGGGTTCTCGATCCGGCGGCACCGGACGGAGGGGAAGGACGGCGTGGGCAGGGGGCTGACCAGGCGGTACTTCGTGTGCCACCGCGCTGGCGAAGCCCCTCGCCGGTGCGCCCAGGCCGCAGCGGAACAGGAGCTCCTCGCGGTGCGGGTGCCAGGCGTATATGCGCATAGGCAAGGGCGCGGACGCCGGGGGTCCGCTGCCGCAGTGGCGAGTCATGGGGTTCTCCAACCACCACAACCACGCGCTCCTGGGGCAGGACAAGGTGCGCCTCCTGCCGGCGTACCGCTTCATCTCCGGCGCCGACAGGGACCGGATCCTGATGCTTGCTAAGTCAGGGATCACTGTGCAGCAGTTGATGAGGATAATGGAGCTTGAGAAGTGCATCGAGCCAGGAAACCTACCTTTCACCGAGAAGGATGTGAGGAATCTCATACAGTCCAGGAAGGTAGAGCATGAGGAGGACGAGCGCGTCGATCTACTTAGGATGTGCAACAATTTCAAAGAGAAGGATCCCAACTTCAAGTGTGAGTTCACCAAAGATGCGAACAATCATGTGGAGAACATTGTCTGGACGTATGCGGATTCGGTTGAGTCTTATGAGCTATTTGGTGATGCTGTTGTGTTTGACACCACCCATCGGTTATCTGCACTCGACATGGTGCTTGGGATATGGGTTGGTTTGAACAATTATGGAAGGCCTTTCTTCTTTGTTTGTGTGCTTCTAAGGGAGGAGAATCAGATATCATTTGCATGGGCATTGCAGGTAACCATTCATCAGGGTAAAAACTTACTTTGCCATTTTGCAACTGTTCTCTTAGGCAGCATTTCTGGTTGGCAGGTGTTTCTCAACTTCATGAACAGGACAGCTCCTCAGACGATACTCACAGATCAAAATGTGTGTCCCAAGGAAGCAATTGAAAAGGAACTACCTAGCACAAAGCATGTACTCTGCAAATGGCTAATAGCAGCCAGGTTCCCATCTTGGTTTGGTGCAAATCTAGGAGAGCGCTACAAGGACTGGAAAAATGAATTTGATAGGCTATATAACATGGACAGCACAGTGGCATTTGATCTTGGGTGGAATGACATGGTGAACTGCTATGGACTTCATGGAAATGAGCATATTGCTAGTCTGTTTGCATCAAGAAATCTCTGGGCCTTGCCGTATTTGAGAGGGCATTTTACTGCAGGACTGATTACTTCCCCAGCTGTTTCAAAGTCAACAAATGCCTTCATTCAGCAATTCTTGTGTGCTCAAACACACCTTGCAAACTTCATTAAGCAGGTGAGCATCTGTTGTCAAATACCAATGTTTTCGTTTGATGTGGATCACCATGGTTTTCAGATATTTGTAAAAGAAAAATGCAATCCCCTTTACTATGGCTTCAGTCCAGTATAGCCATACTGTACATGCTAACATAAATTTCTTGTTTGGGCAGTAATGTGTTACTCCTTGCTTTGTGTGAACTAAGCGCAGTAATGTGTTACTCTGCTAATTCTTTCGTCAGGTTTCAATTATTGTTGCCTACAAAGACCAAGCTGGTGAACAAGAAATGATGCAGCAAAATTTGCAGAGCATAAGCCTGAAGACAGCATCTCCAATTGAAGGCCATGCTGCTGCAGTTCTCACCCCATATGCCTTCTCTAAGCTACAAGATGAGCTTGTTGCGTCTGCTGAATATGCATCCTTCCACTTGGAAGGGAGTATTTTTCTTGTCCGACACCATACCAAGGAGGCGGGTGGGTGCAGTGTCACATGGAACCCAAGGGAGGAGCTCATTTCTTGCTGCTTCCAGATGTTCGAGTCCTCAGGAATCCTCTGTCCGCATGCCCTTCGCGTGCTCACAGCACTGAACTATTTCCAGATCCCAGACCTGTACCTTCCTGTCCGGTGGCGCATGACTCAGCCACCGCCTTCCAACTCCTTGAATGGAGCTCCTCATCACCCTCAGGGCTTAGCATCTGAGAGAGTGGGAGCATTGCAATCCATGGTCTCAGCGCTGGTGAGTGAAGCAACCAAATCTCATGAGCGGATGGATCTTGCAACGCAGGAGGTGCATCTCCTGCTGTCCAGGATAAAGCAGCAACCAGTCTCGATGCATGTTTCAGGTGAAAGTGTTAGTAGGCTGCAATAACTACATCATTGCATTTTGCGCAGTTAGGAGTAGATAAGTAGCAGTCCTAATTAGTGGCAAAGCAATAACGATTGGTTATTTGGCTACTTGGATATTGTTAAGTATAATGAAAGGTAAATTATAATATAGGCCGTCTTAGCTCAGTCGGTAGAGCGCACGGCTTTTAACCGTGTGGTCGTGGGTTCGAATCCCACAGACGGCGTTTTATAAATTTTTATTACTACGTTTTCTGTTTTTAAAATGTTTTATTTTAGTTGCTTCTTTTTTTTTTCTGTTTTTAAATTTTCAGTTTTTTTATGTTCCCAATTGCTTCTTCCTCTTCCTATGTTTTCAGTTGCTTCTTCCTATTCACTAAAATTTTCGTGAACATTTTAGCTTTGAACATGAAAGCACATGATCTTTTGCGCAATAACCTCAGTTGCCATTTCAGCGTTCCAACATGAAAGTGCATGATCTTTTGTGCAACAAACTCCCTAAATTGAAGTTGTGGATACAAATTGCATCCCCCATCTCCCTTGTTGAACTACAAGTCTACAGCAAACTGGGATGCATGATTTCCGTTTGGGTAAAACAAAAGAAAAATAAAACTTATGATATGTTACAGTCTTTGTTTTCTGTTCGAGAAAACAAATAGTCCCACTAAAGAATACAATAATCGTTTAATAGTCTGCTAGCACAAACACTAGTGAAGTTTCAGTTCAGAAACCATTACAAACAGAAAAAAAAAATCTTAACACCGCAAACTTCGACTAAATCCTAGCTGATTACTGTTCTACCAAAGGAAGCAAGATATCTGCCGCTGCCGATCCGATGGTGCACTGGGGGCTGGATTTGAACCCAACGGCGGGGAACGACTTCCTGATTGGCCCGATGTGGACAGTGACCTCTCCGCCGGCCACCTGGACGCCGGTGATGGGCACCCAGACGAAGAGCACGCGGACGCGAACGCCCTCGAGCCCCGTGACCGTCCCGGGGGACACGGTGCCGGAGAGCTCGATGTCGTAGCCGACGCGGTAACCCCCCACCTCTACCACGCAACCGTCGTCGAGGAAGAGCTCAAAGGTGCCGTCGTCGTGGAGGAGGTACCGCCGGGCCGTCTCCGGGAGCAACGCGCGCGGGAGGCCGAACCGGTCCATGAGCTCCGGCACCGTCGGCGGGTCGTACGGAGCCGCGGCCGAGGCGAAGGCAGCGAGGCTGGCGCTGAGGCCGAGGAGGAGAAGGGCGGAGGCTGCGGCATCCATGTAGTGGACTGCCGGTGCCGTGGTGGTTCTTGCCTTATTGGTTTTGGGAGTTGGTTGGTTGGTTCTTTGCCTTCTTGGATGGATGGGAAAGGTCCAACGGAGCACTTTTTTTATTGAGTTTTAGAGGGAATAACAGCCGAACAAAGATGAGGAATCTTGACATATTCCATTTCGTTGAGTGATGATGATCGAGAAATGAAAAGACACGACGAATAACTTGCTCCTTTCGTGCTAGATTATAATTCCAACTAGTCAAGTCAAGATTAAGACGTCAAGATCGAGATAAGAAATAGTCCCTCTAGTGACAAGACACTTTGAATCATGTTTAACTTTTGAAATTATTGATCTTAATACTTCAAACTACATGATACCCACATCTACATCCATTGGATTATCCAATGTTTGAAATAGGGTTGTTATAAAAAAAAAGTTTTAACATAGGGTTATCTAAGTTAATTGTTGAACCAAAGTTTTTATCATCTTTTTTTTTACAAAGATCTAAAATATTACTCTATTCGTTTTAAATTATAAGACGTTTTAGCATTTCTATATACATATTTTTTGCTATGCACTTGATATACACTGGTAAAAATAATGTATCTAGAAAAGTCAAGACGTGTTATAATTTAGAACGGATGAAGTATTATTATTTCTAGTAGTAGGGGGCATCTTTTCAATTGTCTTAGTTAGAAATTATCATTGCAAGCCACTAGTCATAAAATACTATTATATTTCCTCTATTCCAAATTATAAGACTTTTGATATTTTTAACCTTAAGTTTGACCACTCGTCTTATTCAAAAAAATTATGCAAACATAGTCAAATTTAAGTCATTCTTGAAGAACTTTTATTAATAAAACAAGCCACGACAAAAGAAATAATATTTTACACAAATTTTTAAATAAGATGAGTGGTCAAACTTAGTGTCAAAAAAGTCAAACGTCTTATAATTTAGAACGGAGGAAGTATTTGTTTGTATATTGTGTGTGACGTCTGTGTTCTAGTTTGCCCTTGAGTATGCGTGCATTTGGCAAGCTGAATCGTTCCAGATTCTCAGCTAGAACCAGACACACTTTCAAACGGTGAAAGCAAAAAAACATTTCAACGTAGAAACATTTCCGTTTTCTTCCTAGGAACACGAATGGCCATAGGTTAGTTTCACCAGATTCAGTTTCGTTTACTGATCTCTCTTGTCTTATGAATCATAATCCAATCTACTAGTAAAACGATTTTATAAAGGCCCTGTTCACGTGCTTTTAAACCGGCTTGATCCGCTTCTTTTTTTATCCGGAACAGTGTTTTCCTCTCACAAATTCTCTAAATTCCTCCAAATTCCTCCAAGCGAACAGGACCAAAGTGATTCTGATTCATCACCCAAAATACTTCAAAGAAAAATTAGAATATAAAATGTTTCTACAAGAATCTGAAGTCCTATTAAATACATCCAAAGTTGTAGCATCCTTCGGGCTGTTTTGGGGCTAACAATGATATTCATTTGGGGATCCTCCCCCTGTTTCACCTTAAAAAAGGTTGTAGCATGTTTTTCTACAATCATGTTTTTTAACAAAAGTAGCAATAAAATGATTATGCCATTATATTTAGAGATATTTTATATGTGCATGGTGACAATGTTGCATAAGGTGTTCTCCCAATTCCTGTCTGTTTATATGGTGGAACCTGCACACAACTTTTGTATTGTGTTTAACAAAATGATTGGGTGAAAAGTCCCAACAAAGAATCAGAGAGGCTAGCGTCCGGACGTCCGGCCGTCCAGACGAGCTCAGGGCCATCCAATTCGACGACCAGAAACAGCGCCCGCGTGCGCACCGAACAGAAGGGCGAGCACGCGCCCGCGTCGTCATTTGTGGCCTATCCCCTCCGCGCCCATATCCGCCACTGCGCTGCCATCTCAGGCATGCCCTCTCTGCAGCCCCGCCGAGCCCCTCCGCACTGTGCAGTGCCGCGTCCCATCCTCCGCCGCACTGCCTTCTTTGCATCCCTGGACGACTGCTCCTTCGTCGAGGTCTGCACCAAGTCCCGTCGCGCTCCCGTCCGCCAGTCACTAGCGCCATTGCAACATGTGCAACACTAGATCTACATTTGCAACATCCAGAGGAAACACTTGCAACATACGTTCAAAACAGCTGAAACATTTGTGACATACACTTGCAACATATGTCTCAAACACCCGAAAACAATTGAAGCATACGACTTGTAACATGCGTGTATAGCCATAGCAACACATGCAACATCCATATATGTTTATACAACATCCAAAACGCTTACAACATACGTCTCAAACACATGAAACATACGCTTGCAACATGCGTATATATCCATTGCAACATCCATATGAAGCACGTGAAACATACGTCTCAAACACCTGAAAACATACGCTTGCAATATGCGCTTTCAGCGCAACATGTACTTATTGCTTGGACGAATGGAGGCTCTTGTTGGCACATAGAGCTCGACGCCGGTGCGGAGCTTGATGCCGTGGAGTAGCGTGGAGGCCACCGATGCGGAGCTCATCGGCGGCAAGGAGGCGCAGAGCTCACTGGCAATGGAAGCGGCTGGGCAAGCACAACGGAGAACGGGAGCCATGCGACAGTCGGTGAGCACGGTGAAGAGGGAGGAAGGAGGGGCGGCGGCGCTCGGGTGCACTGAGCGTGGTGGCGCGATCGTAGTGGAGCACGCCGCAGCGGTGCGGAGACCTTGGCGAGTGAAGAGTTAGTTCCGTTCGTAGACAACGGCTGAAGGATTTCTCGATAAGAAAGGCGAGCACTGCGGAGAACACCTGTTGGGCCGTTCAGGTCGACGTTGCGGCCCACCAGAAGAAGCGACGTCCCCAATCGGACGTCCGCATCTATAAGCATTACCGACAAAGAATTGTTGTGCACGGTACTCCGTTCCCATTTCTACGCACTGGTTCTCCCAAACTGAGAAAAAAAAACACGGAACGTTCTCACTTTTCTACCAGTAACTGGTAAGTGCGCTAGTGAATCCTGAACTCTTCAGTTGCTGGTAGTCTGCTACTTTGCTACTGCCCGTGACCGTGAGGCAGTGACAGTGAAGCTAAGTTCTTCGCCATTACATGATTCAACGATCATCGTCGTCATGGACTCGTGGTCAGTGATGAGCTACTAGCTCCTGTACGTGCCCGCGAGGTAGGCGAGGCAGCCGACGAGGGGCGCGTTGGTGTACGTCGTCGGCTCCGACCGCGCGTAGTCGGCGCGGTCGTCCGGGAACTCGTCGTGCTCGTCGGGCCCGCCGACGACGGCGCCCGTGTGCACGTTCGGGTTGGCGCCGCTGGAATAGAAGTAGCTCTGGAACCCCTCCTGGCACCCGATGTGGGCCGGGTGGGCGGCCACCGACGGCAGGGACGACGCCCGGTGGTGGATCCTCTGCGGCCACCGCGCGCCGAAGTTCACCATGTAGGACATGCCCTTGGGGTTGACACCCAAGATGTAGTCCACCTGCTGCTTGGCGAGAGCCCTGAGGGACCTGGCGGTGACGGGGAGGCTCTGGCAGGAGAAGGTGTGCTTGCTGACGGCCATGTACTTGGCGTAGGTGGTGAGCAGGAAGCTGGCCGAGGTGACGTACTGCAGGTTGGTGTACCCCGACTTGTGCATCAGGCCGCCGAGCGTGTACTGCGTCGTGGAGGATGGGGAGTCGCGCAGGATCCTGCAGAAGAATCCTCGGCCTGCTGCCTGAACGGCTCGAGACTCTTGTCCCTGTTCACCAGGGCTTTCTGCATGCAGGATATTGCAGGTGCAGTGGTGCAGGCACGCACGCACACACAAACATGAGCATGGTGCAGAGCGATCGCAGCGGCCAATATGGTTGCTCCCTAGCTTGAGCGTGATTTGTTCGTGCCACGTGCCCGTGACAGTAGCACGCGCGCTCCGGCGAGCTTGTTGTCCCAGCTGAACATGTCGACGCTGTCGTTGTCCCCCAAGGAGTAGAGGTAGCTGAGGTACGAGGAGTTCTTGGTCGCCCAGAGCAGCCACGCCGACCCCCACAAGAGCTCGTCCTGCAGATTAAAGGGGAAACAAACAACGCTCGAATTAGTCGATCAATCAATGATTGCTTGTTGATCCCGGAGGTTAGATTTGATTCGGACCTTGTAGCCGGAGTACGACTGGTAGTAGGCGCTGATGTCGCCGCCGACGAAGTCGCTGTACTTTCCCTGGTGCCGCACGACGAGCTCCATCACGTCCCGCGCCGCGGCGAGCAGCCTCCTGGAGTAGGCCCGGTCGGCGGCCCTGAACACCATGCTGGCCGCGGCGAGCGCGGCCGCCATCTCGCCGGCGACGTCGGACCCTGGAGCCGACGCAGACACCGCGTACACGGTCCTCGGCGTGTCCATGTCCTCGGGCCGCTCCCAGCACCGGTGGTCCGCGTCGGGGTCGCCCACGCCCACGTAGAGCGCGCCCGGCGTCTGCGTGGCGGCCTTGAGGAGGTAGTCCGCGCCCCACCGCACGGCGGCGCGCGCGTCGTCGCGCACGCGCGCCGCCTTCATCCGCCCGCCGTGCTCCAGGACGCCCCACGACAGCATCGTCGTCGTGAAGGCTATTGGGAAGCCGAACTTGGCATTGTCGCCGCCGTCGTAGTACCACGCACGTTTCATCAGAGACAACAAGAAGGTCAACGCAAGTCAAAGCCCCACTGACCCCGGTCAAAGCGCTGACCACGTTCAAACAAACACGTCTTCTACAACACAGGAAGTACTGTATTGGATTAGTGTGCAGGCCCACGTACGTTTGCGGCCGAGCCGTCGGAGAGGCCGGAGTTGGACCGCCACGTGACGGCCTGGTCCGACGGCAGCTGGCCGGACCTCTGCCCCTGGAAGAAGAGTATCGCCTTCGCGAGCGCGTGGGGTGTCCGCCGGCAGCCACATGGCTGGAGCCGGAAAGGAGGGAGACAGCGACGGCGAGAAGCACTAGAGCCTGCGACTGCGATGATGATGGTGATGGCATCGTCCTTGATCGTGCTGCCAA